ACCTGCCGGACGAGACATTACGATTGTCACAACCTTCAAGACGATGCAATCGAGATGAAGATCTTCAAGAACGACATGTTCTTCCTCGAACAGATGGTGAGATACAACGCGTTTGGTATCACGATTTGGGAAGGGACTCCCGATGTTTGGTGATTTTGCTAGAGGTAGGAACAACTCCTGATGGTGTTCCGAATATTCTATTCGAAGGAAGTTATGAAGGCCTCAATAATGATCAAATAACTGGGTGGTCTTCCCGCCCTGGTATGGGACACTACCGATGGTTGAGAGGCCCTATCAATCATCTTCGAAGAGAACAGAGATCAGAGTATGTGGCGAATACAATTCGTCGCATCATAGATTTCCTCAACATATGATGACCGCTCCTCGTGGAACTCGTCTCTAGAACGGGGGGTAATGTCACGGCCATAATCATGTAAGCTAATAATTACATATAGAAATAGGTAGAAGTAAGTAAAAGTAGATAAAAGTAAGTTAATTGTATAATATTTAATATAGAAGCTTCCTAGAAACTTCCTAGACGCTGCTTTGACTTCATAGGTGTCTTTAATTGACTTTTTGGATTAGAAACGTGGTCAACAAGTTGGCCATGTGCCACACATGTTGTTAGCTTGAAGATCAAGCTAACTATGTGGCCCACACGTAGAAAAACTTGCCTTGTAAGTCAAGGCATGTGTCCTACAAAGTCAACACATATTGGAGGTCCTATAGAACATCGCCACGTAGCCCCTAGTTAGATAGTATATATAGAGACAAGAGTGAAGGCTTCTTCACTCTTGTCAACTCCTTTCTTGCTTCTAGTCCAGGTTCAAGAGTCTTTAGTTTCTTGTCTTGTGGCAATAGCCATTCCAGTTACCTTTTAATATACCTACTTGTTTATATTTTGACTTATTATATCGAGATAGCCTTTTGGTGTATATTTTTCCTCATCGAGTCTTTGTCCTTGACAATTGCTTGACTCAAAGTTTGAAGATCATGTAAGTGGAGCATCAATTTCTTTACTTCGTATTGCAATCCATAAAGAAATTGACTGATGAGTGCAGCATCATCCCACTTGATGTCAATTGCAAGTTGTCGAAATTGTGAAGCATACATTGTTACTGAGCGATTTCCTTGTCGCAAAATTTGGATCTTGTTTGTTGCGACACGAGTTACATCGTGTTCACCATACATAGATCAAAACTCCGCCAAAAAAGCTTCCAAATTGTCCAATATTGGATTTCGTTGTTCAAGAAAAGACGAAAACCACGATAATACAGAACCAGAAAGTAGAGTGTCAATAAACCTGACTTGTGATCCTGGAGTTGGATAGCTTTGCGGTTGAAGTTCAATTGCCAATTGTACTTGATTGATGAACCCTCGAAACTTTGATCTTGTACCATGAAATTTCTGGAATAAAGCAATTCTTGGTTCTCTAGTGCTTACTGGGTGTTGTACAATTGGAAAAGGAATGTGATTTGGTGCAGATGTTGAAGCAGCTCCGATCATCTCTATATCTCCTTTTTTTGCTATTTTTGTTCTTTCCTGTGTTGGTGAATTGAGTTGATGCATCGCAAGCATTAACTCCCTCAATTGTTCTTGCATTTGTGCTATTGCACTCTTCATTTCAACAAGCTCTGCCATAATAATACTAAGAAGAAAAATTTGTCTGATATTGCTCAAGACAAAAGAAAAAGAAAAGACTTGATAACAAAGAAGATACTAAGAACAATATCAGTTTAGAAGTGGGTAATCCGCAAACTTCTAATATGCTTATGTCTTGTCAAGAGAAAGGGATAATCCACTCTTACTCAAGAAAAACAAAGCTCTGATATTGTAAGTGCAGTCTTGTCAATCTGTCAAGGACAAGAACTCGATGAAAAAACAATTCAAACGAGTGAGCATTCACTCAAAGAGAGGTAACAAAATATATATAAACAAGTATATATATTGAAAGAGAAACTGGAATGGCTATTGCCAAAAGACAAGAAAACTAGAGACCCTTGAAACAGACTAGAAGCAAGAAAGCAATTGACAAGAGTGAAGAAGCCTTCACTCTTGTCTCTATATATACTATCTAACTAAGAGCTACGTGGCAACATTCTATAGGACCTCCAATATGTGTTGACTTTGTAGGGCACATGCCTTGACTTACAAGGCAAGTTTTTCTACGTGTGGGCTACATAGTTAGCTTGATCTTTAAGCTAACAACATGTGTGGCACATGGCCAACTTGTTGACCACGTTTCTAATCCAAAAAGTCAATTAAAGACATCTATGAAGTCAAAGCAACGTCTAGAAAGTTTCTAGGAAGCTTCCATATTAAATATTATAGAATTAACTTACTTTTACCTACTTTTATTTACTTCTACCTATTTCTATATGTAATTATTAGCTTACATGATTATGGCCGTGACAATAATAAACAAAGAACTTAACAATCTTAATAAAATCCTAAATAAATATTAATTAAAAATCAATAATTTTAATGAAACCATAATAAAATCCTAAAAAATTATAATAAAATCCTAAAAGAATCATTAAATAAATCTTTTAGAAATTCTAAAGAATTGGTAAATAAATAATGAAGATTTTTTAAAAAAAATTTGAATTTTTTTTGAAATGTGTTTACTATCCTCCAATCTTTTACCTATGTCTTTCTAAAGTATAATTTATATATTTTTCATTCACCTTATAGTTGTATTATAATATATCAATACTCATATCATAGTACTTTAGAAACAAAAATTAATATTATGAGCTAGTTGAATTATAAATTAGTAGTGGATTTTGATCAAATATGAATTATAACTTAAGAGCCATAAAAGCTTTGATAAGCTTATATTAAGCATGGCTCTAAAATACAGTACACTTGCTGCATTCAAATTAAAAGCTTTAAGACTTTTCATATATGAAATTGGCAATTTATTTACCAAACTAAGTGCCCTTATAATTGTGACTTACTACAAAAAAAAATTATTCTTGAATAATATTTTTTATTCTATAAAAGTTGACACAATTTGCAAGTCAGAGCATTGAGCTTCTTTGAGCTCTTAACAAAATAGTTGAACAAAGATAAGAGATTTAGATGGCGATTTTGAAGAACAAGAATTTATTGAAGAAGCTTTAATAAGTTTAAAATAAGAAATGATAGAAGTAAAGAACTTGAATCAAGTAGAGAATTATATTTAGGCAATGCATTACATAGCAATTAACAACATACATACCTTTAAGAGCCTTTTAGAGTTTCTAATAGATATTTGACAAGTGTGAATATGCATCCCAAAGGTAGTTGTTGGAGGTTTTAGGTTGTTGATGCAGGGACATAGAAAAAGTTTGGAGATTAGGTTGGCTTCATTGCAAAGCCTATAATTTGGCAAGGAGAGTTGTTGGTTTGATTGTATCCAAATTGGATTTGCGGTCTCTTACAATTATGTGCATACCACATGAGCAAAGAATTAGGATGGTATATTGAATAATGATTGTTGCCTTGTTCTACTAATGCCGTTTTTTAAGTAATCATTTAAGAATTTTTAACTATTGATCATTCATTTTTCTTTGCAAGTCAATCAATACAAGAGATTTGAATTATAAGTATTAACGGGTCATTCAAATTTTCTCTTTACTTAAGTCCAAGGATTTGTTTCATGCCCCAAATTTGCATTGGTATTGGTAATTGTGATTTTTCAGCTCTAGATTGTAACGTCCTTGTGTTTTTGACCAACTTGTTCAGGTAGATGGTCGATCTTTCATTCAAAGATAGCTATTTGCTATGCAACACATTTCATTTAGAGTGCATAATGTTGGAATACAAAACAACATAACTATGAACCCTTGATTGCACAAATGAAATGAAATGCAACACCACACCTCCAACACTATGGGACACAAAGTTGTGGAGAGGTGAGCAAAATCTAAGAATGGGAAAGATGAGAAGCAGAGTAGAAAGTACAAAAAGAGAATACAAACTTTGGTTCATTGCCTCGAACACAGAAAGCACAATTGGTGTTGCGAGAGAAAAAGAGTGAAAGAGAGTTGTTGGTTTGAAGGTCTATCTGAAGGCTGGATTGTCCCTTAAGCCTCTTCACTCCGATCACACGACTGCATGTCCCTGGTCCTCTCTCTGTGTTTTCGTCTGACGCTGCTTTGCACCAGCAACAAACACTGCAACGCCTTGCAGGTCAAGCAGGGCTCCAAGTCACAGCCCAATTCAACCTTAGAAGTTGGGTCAAAGAAGACTTGCATTGTTCTTCTTGCTGCAACAACAATGAATTAGTGGAAGCAATTGTAGTGGATGTGATGCGGAAGAGAGGAAGATTTGTATCCCACGAGGATGAGTTTGGTGAATGTGTCGAGCATGTCATGTCAAAGTGAAGACACAAAGTGGTCGCAGATTTGTATTTGCATCCCTACACGAGGCTGGTCTCGACGGATTCCAGCTTGCCCAAATTAGGTTTGGGTACTATTTCCAAAATCAACAAAACCATGTTATGGTGTTGTTATTATTGTTGTTGTAATGTTTATTAATTTTCCTGTTGTTACTGGAGTAAGAATTTTATCCATTAAGGTTTAGTGTATTTCCTTGCAAAGTAAGTGGGCGTAAAGTTTTAATTAATATGTATTTTTGTAGTTGACTTATATATACATAACACTAGGTTCACTGCAGATGGTTGTGAATGGAACCAGAAGGGATTTCCCAAATTGGAGGAAGTATTCAACAGATGCAACTCATGAGCATGAGAACAGCGTTCCCAATCTGCAGGACACGTCTGATGTGCGAGAAGCCGAAACGAACCACAGCCAAGGCCTCCCACATATGCTTTAAGGTTCGAATACGCACACGTGGACAAAGACGTTGCAGGCGTGGAATAGGCTGATCCACAGAGGCATGGCAGCGCGGGCAGGGGGAGAGAGAGGGCGAGGGGGGAGCCATGTCCATTCACGGCCCCTCCTCCTTCTGCCCCTCCGCTGCATAACGCAAACGCTATCCAGCGCCAGACTCATCTGGTCCGTCGGGGGAGCCCCGATCCACGGCCCTGGCGTCTCCCGCCATAGCCCCACACTCAGCTTCCGCTTGTGCTTGGGGGCCAGGCAGTCAGTTCCATGGATCGATTTCTGCCTTGCCCCAGGTTGGTCGTCTCTCCGCTGTGGAGTCAAATGTGAGCTTCGATTGCTGCACAGACCGGGAATTAGTGTTTTAGAATTGAGCTGTGAAGTGCCCGGCGATGGCGTTGCTGGTGGACGCTGGAGCTGCGGGGACGCGGGGTGCGGTTCAGCCTATGCATTCTTCTGTTACGACTGCGACCTCGGGTTTGAGCTCGGGTTCGTCGCGTTTAGGGACCGTGGGCGTGCGCTGTGGTATTGGTGCGTTCCGGTTCCTTGATTTTTTTTTTTTTTTTTTTTCTTTTTCTGTTTCGTTTTGGAGGTCTGTTGACGATGACGTTGATGATGCGGTATTTAAGTACTAGGACTGATCGCTTCGGATACATCAGGGATTTGTTGGACATTGTACTCTGTTGCTGAAGTTTGTATGATTGTCACATCGGTAATCGAGTTCTGCGGTAGCATCGTCGAATTCTCTAAGGGTTGAAGAGTCGAATTTTTGAGGAGATTGAGATTAACTGCGGGAAGATACATAATCAGAGCTCTCTGTATGAAGTGAGTTTCAATAGAGGGATGTTGACACGAATAAAATATCGAGAGTAACTGGATATTGGTTTTTTCACTCTACGATGATCTGAGATTGAATTTTCGAATTGAGATTTGACTCTTATGCTGGCTTCGTCTCATTTCATTAACGGCAAGACCTAAATCTTTTCACATACAGCCAAAATCTGGGGTGCAATTACGCTGTATCTAGGTACTCGATAATGATAATGCAGTTCCTTAGCGTGTCTCGGGAATGTAGAGGAATTCGAACTCAGAATAATTCCGCGTTTTTGAATAATGTTTTTTTTTTTTTCTCCATTAAATGTAGATGTAGGATATTATAAAGGAATTCAGACTACGATTTATGCAGAAGGATGTACCAAGCTATCCCATCTTCACGATTAGCTGTGTTTTAATCATCATCTGAATTTGGTGGAACGCGCACGCACATACAAACAACCATACACGCACATACAAACACACACACACGCACATACACACAGAGACATCCCGCTGATACTGTGTACGAAGTTGATGCTGGTTGTTGCAGTAGCTCGGGCTGCGATTTCAGGGGCGGCAAGTAGTGAAATTGCAGTGCGACCATGTGGAGCTTGTAGTCTGAGAAGCACGTTCGCAGGTCAAAGAGTTGGCGCATTTTGTTCTTTTGCGGGAACCAAAACGCAAAGTGTTCACAATGGCTCTCGTGTGAGCGCATCATCTAAACCAGAGGACAGAAGCGATGACAATGAAGCCTCTGAAAAGCAACCTGAAGTGACTGAAACCTTATCGAGTTTGAAATCTGAGGACAGTGGCAAAGATGATGCCGACCAGGTTGGTATTGCTCTTTGAGCATGCTCCCGAAGTTATATCGTGTTGAATGTGAGAAAGGATTACATGAACTGCCTTGGTGGTTAAGGTACCTCGCTTATCTATCAAATGCCAGTGAGCACATAATCTGAAGTGTGGAGATGAATGCAGGTGACATTGTCTCTGGACGATGTGAATCCTGTTGGACTCGGAAGGCGAACTCGACAGGTTTTCGACGCTGCATGGCGACGACTGACAAATCTTGGACAGCTAACGAGTGCCTCCAGGCCTAGTGATGAGTACGATTTTGAAAAAGTGGTAGTTGGAGGACCAATGTGTGACTTCCAAACTCCAAATGCAGAGCTCACCACCGTTCTTGTTGCTGGTGCTACCGGGCGTGTGGGACGCATTCTTGTTCGTAAGCTGCAGCTTCGAGGTTATAAAGTGAAAGTGCGTCCATGATTCCCTGTCCGATTGCCTTCGTATGTTCCTGAACGTTGGATGTGATTTGGTGAATAAAGTACGGCATTGTCAACCCTCTGGAGTAGTAGGAACGAAACAGACTTTGTTCAAAGTGAAATTGCGAATCCTGAGGCACTCGTCTTTCGGTATGCACCTTTTGCCTGTAGGGTCGCAGTTGCCGGGCACCGTCACATAGCACTGAGCGGTTCTCTTGTTTCTGATTGTAATCGATGTGTATTCATTTAAGATTACTGTCAACGTTGATTTCAGGCTGTAGTAAGGCAGAATGACGAGGAAACGTTGGACAAGCTCCCCCGTTCAGTTCAGATTATCGTTGGCGATCTTGGAGATCCAGCCACGTTGAAGGAGGCCGTCGAAGGGTGCAACAAAATTGTCTTTTGCGCCACTGCAAGATCCACAATTACAGGAGATTTGAGCAGGGTGGATCACCAGGGTGTCTACAATCTCTCGAAAGCTTTTCAGGTATTTTAAGGTCGCTCGTGAATTTTGGTTTTCAACATTCCTTGTTGCATCTTTGCATAATTTAAAATTTCTGTTCATCCTCTCATTTCATCCAATTTTTTTTTCAAATGTTTCGTTTACTATCTAAAGTATTTCCTCGTATGTTAAAAAATTATAGTTCATGTGGTTTGCTTTCATTCGTGGAGTGTATGGAGAACGAGAGCAATAAGGGAATTTCACTTGTCAAATGTGTAGGACTACAACCACAAACTGGCCCAAACGAGGGCAGGGCGTAGTAGCAAGAGCAAGTTAACCATTGCCAAGTTCAACCAAGCTACTGCTTCGGATGGATGGGAACTCAGAGAAGGCCTTTATTTTACAGATGAAATTGCTGGAATGTATGACGGTGGGATGGACGCCCAATTTGAGGTCAGCGAGGATGGAAATGCCGTCTTTTCAGGTACGCAAACTGACTTATCGAAGTCAGTTCAGATCTGAAAAGTGGTCGATATTAATTTATAAGTTTGATTTAAATTTCAATTCATGTTGACCCAGGTCAATAGAATCCTTAGAATCCGTCAGTTCTATCCGAGAAGCTCTGTAGTTGATATTAGAGGATCTCATTTAGATTCTTGTAAGTATCTGCATGCATATATACAACAGAACTGCGCAGGCATGTCTGCGTGTTTTTGGATGGTTCATTGGATATTGAGTTGAAAACATCTACACTGTTCCTGACTCTTCGGGGTGGCTTGATCATTAGGTTATGTGTTCACACGAGGAGGTTATGTCGAATTGGCAAAGAGAATCTCTTTACCTCCTGGGCTTACACTCGATAGGTACAATGAATTGCCAGTTGTCGAGTCGATGCTTAGATTTTGCTTTGAAAATTTCTGATACCAAGACCTTCTAGGATTCTGAAGTGGACTATTCAAATGTAGACTAATGACTTTGGTGTGAGACAAAAGGTGTAGTTGCGCTTTGAGGCTACACTCCCTTCATCTTTTATAACTAAGACAACACAAATGTAGAAAGCAGTCTTCTGTTCTTCCTAAGCGATTTACATTAGCTTTAGAGGGCTGAGTATCCATAACTTAGTTCTGGTTGTGGAACTGAATAGGTACGAAGGGTTGGTTCTATCAGTCTGCGGGGATGGCAAGGCCTATACACTTCTTCTTGAAACAGATCCTTCTGAGGATGATCCCAAACCCAGACAATACTTCGTTCGTTTTCCCACACGACTGGGATACAGTCGGGTGAGTGATACGACTATCAATTTCCAGTGATCATGGCCGTTACTTGGGCTCCTCTTCTATCGAAAATCTTCGTATTTATCATCTGACAGGTGTTCTATGCCATACAGCATTAATTCTGAAGGTTAGAATTCGCACTGGAAACTGTGTCGATTGATTGCATTTTAATCGTGTGCTTGTGTTCCAAGCAGGTTAGGATACCCTTCAATTCATTTCGTCCAATGGATCCCGAGTCTCCTCCTTTGGATCCTTTCCTTGTGCACACCCTTGCTTTCAGATTTGAGCCCAGACGGCAGGTCGGTTATGATTGCAAAACCCTTCCTTAGTTAATCGTCCTGCTTTGCCTAACAATTTTCATAAGATCTTTTGTTTTCTTGCTTCTGTACATTCTTGGCAGAATCTTGGCGACTCAAACTATTAGTCATATTTAAACGATAGTTAACATCTTCCCTCATCTTACACAGAAATCTTCAGCAAATCGTCCAGCCAGTACCTTGACCCCTGCCCAGGAAGGCCAGAATAACAGTTTCAAGCTTATACTCGACTACATCAAAGCATTGCCAGTAAGTTACAGTGGTATCCTTTCATCTGGGTAGCTTTTGGATTCCCTCGCTAGTGGATGTTTGAGCATCTGATGGTGACATGCAGGTTCCACCTGTATGGATGGTTCTGACGTTGTGTTTGTTGTGTTTGATGTAGGGTGGTCAAGAGACCGATTTCATACTTGTGTCATGTTCAGGGGCAGGAGTTCCAAACGATGCAAAGGAAAAGGTTTTAAGAGCTAAGCAGGTAAAGTCAATTCTAGTGAATACTGCAACTTATTCATCATTATGCTGGTGGTTAGTTGAGAATCGTGAAAGTTGAAATTTGCTTTGAGGTTTCTGGTTACTAACTTTGATCACGGAATGGCTTTGTAGGCTGGAGAAGCAGCCTTGAGAAATTCAGGACTAGGTTACACAATCATACGACCTGGAACCCTCCAGGTAATGCAGCATTTTATTTTATTTTATTTTATTTTCTCTTTCTCGCTTTTCCTGTGGCAATCATCTGATGTCACCTGGAACATCTTGTTCCTGATCTACATAGAAGAAATGTAAAGGTTCATAGACGTACTTACCATGTACATACAGGAAGAGCCTGGAGGCCAAAAAGCCCTTGTTTTCGATCAAGGCGATCGCATTACCCAGGTTATTATCTCTATTAGTTAACACACTCTCGTTGCTTAAGTTGATGCACATGCTAGCATATCAAATTCTACACAGTTCTAACGAACTATCTGCGTATCAAATTCCCTTAACTCGACTGTCGAATACTTCTTTGCCTGTGTTTTCGTGGTGACAACCGATGAAACTCAGGACTGATTTGCATCTGCGTGTACTCTCAGAGCATAAGCTGTGCGGACGTGGCTGATGTCTGCGTGAAAGCATTGCACAATCCTACTGCTCGCAATAAGAGCTTTGATGTAAGTTGCATACCCTTGACTTCTACGGATTTCGTAGTTGATAATTCTATTAGTCTCCAATTGTCCTCAACCAAGCTTACGTCGTATTTACAGGTTATTTGTGATGTACATAGAGCGGTGGTGCAATATAGATTTCGCTTCTTACTCTGATGGCTAATAGCTGTTGTTTCACCATTAAGCGTACCCATATTCGTAACCGATTAGGGAGTTTTGTCGTCACTGTTACATGTCGATTGGATCATGTTGTAATGTTAGTTCGATATCGCTTTTCAGGTTTGTTATGAATACGCAGCAGAGGAGGGTCTTGGCCTGTATGAGCTGGTGAGATATCCTCCCTTTTCTCCTTCCTTCGTAACGTGAATGTGGTCGTGAATGTCCTGACCTTAAATTAAGCTATGGTTCATTTTCATTTCTGATTGGAGCTGACGCTTAATCTGCGCTCTCAACATCAAGGAAGGTAGAACTAGAATAAAGTTTAATATCAAGGATGTCCTGTGCTGTGCAGGTAGCACATTTACCAGACAAATCGAACAATTATTTAACTCCAGCATTGGCTGTTCTTGAGTCAAACACCTGAAGACGAAGTCAAAATTTGTCGATTAGATGTGCAGGACCCACTATCTTGGAGTTTTTTTGCGCATATGACACTGTTGCCTTGAAGCTCACTCTCAAAGTTCGGGTTGCATAGAATTCGAAGCTGTCAATCTTTCTTAGGATACAGCTGTTTTTCGTGTATTTCTTGTAAGATGTCCAACAGATTCTTTTACAGATTTAAGCACCTGAAAGGTCTTCAGTTTGGTTAGCCATATGTAACTTTAAACCCTGTTAGTACAGATATGGTAGGAAACATTATGATCGTTGGGTATTGTAATTTTTCTCCGAAGTGCAAGTATTTTATATCCAAAGGTGTGAATCTATACCAAGAGTCGGCCCTAATGTGGTTTTTGTTGGTAATGAGAAAGCAAATACTTCCTGTTCGGATGGATCCCCCACACTGCCTCACAACTAGGGTATTGTTTGAGGCTTTGGAAAAACTAGTTCGTCAACAGTAGATATAGCAACTACACAACAGTGCCGTGTTGCCTACCCGCTTAATCAGATGGAAGAGCACACACCCAATATCGATGCATAGTCGCTTCAAGTCAAATCGGTGGTTTACGAGTCTCCGTCTACAGCCAAACTGCTTGATTCGTTCCGGGAACTCTAACCATTCTCCCCCAAAGCTGAACACATACCTTGCCGTAGCATGTCCTTGTAGTCGCTAAACACCTGGATGCGATCTTAGATCTTAACTAACACACAAAATTGTAGCAGAAGCTCTGAAGAATTGGCTGTAGAATCGGATGTCAGCAGTCTACAAACGACAACAACTGCAGAAGAAAATCAACTCACCACAGAAGAAATTCGATCAGCGCTACTTGCTACTCAATAAATGTGAAGTGGGAAGCCCGTCACGAACTTTCACTACATCAGTAGAGCTCGAAAGCTGACTGCGTGTTCAACTCACGGCAGGACGAAGCAACCATCAGACAAAACAAGCGCAGCAATCAGTATTAGCCCCTGCGGGGCTATGCCACATCCACTGTGCCTCTCATCAGCAGAATCGCTTATCCATCCTCTGGGCCCCGCTCAGCCGTCCGACGACCTCCATCGACAGCCCAGCACCTCCCCCTTCGTAGCCACAGAGTCGGCCCCTCGTCCCCGTCCCCTCCCCCATAGCCATTCCACACGTTGCCGGGGTTGCCGAGTATCCCATCCCATCCCAATCCAGCAGTGTTGCTGATTCCGAGAGCTGCTTGTCGGTCGCTGAGTTGCCCCAATTTTGAGTAAGAGAATTTATCAAGCGAAGCGGAGGGGGAATGGCGATGTTTCTGGACGCAGGGGTGGCTGGGTGCGCGGTCCAGCTGGCCCTGACGGTCGCCTCGTCGGTCTCGGCGTCGAGTTCCAGCTCGCACTGCGTTGTGGGCATGAATGTGCGGTGTCTGCCCGTTGCGCGTGGGCTTCGAATTGGCCCATCCAGGGCGAAATTCGTCTCGTCCGCCGCTTCACAGGGTTCTGTTCGGTCTCAGAGGCGAGGAGTCGTCTGCGAAGCTCAAGAAACTGTCACTGGAGGTATGTTTTCTGTGTGGCTTGCATCAGTTTTAGTTTTAGCAGAAAGGGAACTGCATGCGTCTGTGTTGTGCGATGCCGAGGTCATAATTCGATGTTTCTCTTCAGTTGAGAAAGATCACTTTGAGTGGTTATGATGTGATGCCATTGACTCAGAATCTTGTTTACCCTAAGAATCTAATCTACATCATGTAACTAGGCGATGTATCAACAATATATCAAGAAGTCGACGTATTTTAAGAATTCGTTTTAATGTAGGTGTATCTTTGTCACTGCATTGGCTGGCTAACTGAATTAAGCAATATGCCTGAATCAGATTTTCTATTGGTTCCGATTGCCTGATTGCGCATTAGTTTCTTTACACCTGGGGTACACGAGTACTTCAGTTCTCATGTTTGAGTTGATAGTTTTAAGATCTTCTGATTTTCTTGTAGAAATGAAGGTGAGTAGTATGACAGATAATCTGCTCAAGTGTGTACTTCAAAATTTCATTTATAGATTTTTGTTTGTTGTTCCAATCGGGTACCCAATTCTGATGTGCTCCTTGTTTTGAAACGACAATATTGCTTTGATTAGTGCATTGCACAACTATTCCAACTCTCTCGTGGCCTTCAGTTGCAGGGGTTGTCAATGAAGCTACATGGAAGGAACTTGTACTGGAGAGTAAAATCCCAGTTCTGGTGGATTTCTGGGCACCATGGTGTGGCCCTTGCCGCATGATTGCCCCACTTATTGACGAGCTAGCGAAGACATACGCTGGCCAGGTGAGGTGCTTGAAACTGAACACAGATGAGAGCCCCGGCATCGCCACAGAGTATGGTATTCGTAGCATTCCCACCGTCATGGTCTTTAAGAACGGAGAGAAGAAGGATACCGTTATTGGAGCTGTGCCCAAGTCTACATTGGCCACAACTCTAGAGAAGTACTTGAATTGGTAAGCTTTCTGATTTTTCATCCAGGGGAGGAGCTTGTGGTCGACATATTTCTTGAGGGAAAAGTTGTAGATATCCTCATTCAAAGAATTCATTGATGCAATGTCTTTACTGTTAACTGCATTATAAATAGTCTGTCGTATTGTATGAATCCTTATTGAAGCCATCTCTGCTGCTTTTACAATGGAGAACAGTTGAAATTCACAGGCGCTATTCTTTACTAGTGTCTTGATTCTGAGTAGAGAGTATTTTCCCTCTTGCACAATTCAACGAGGAGTTGTTTGATTTTCAGTTTCTTTAGTTTTCCTTTCTCCTTCATTATTATCGCTTTCTTCCTACTTGCTTTTCGTGTACTTTTCATTTCTATGTTTGCATCTATAAACAATCTTCTCTGAACTGGAGTTGGACTCAAGTCTGAACAGTGTATTTTCTATTAAATAACGATACGTGGGTGAAGAAATTGACGCGTGTGTGGGATTGTACTTCAATCAGATTTGAGTATCAAAAGTTGTACCAAGATTCACACTGAGAGGAAGACGGCTCCTTATCTGGGGCTTGTAGAAGGAGGGGGAATTTGATGACGATCAATGTCTTCATGAGGTTTTGTGATGGCCCAACCTAGTAGTTGCAGCCAAGCCTGGTTCTTTTCGAGGCGCATATTCTTGTATACCTCCTTGTGTTTGATGGCCCTGCATGAAGGCGGGAAAAGCTTGTGTATGTAGATTATTTTGGTCTTTTTCGTTCATTTTCCTTGAGCATGTTCATATGAAAGACTTTTGGCTATTTCTGCCTGGTAAAGCCTTGATGGTCTCAATTTGCAAGCCTCTTTTCTGGAGTTTTCCTTCAACTCTTAAACCTTGATGTACACAACATTCGAGACCTAAGGCCGGCCTAGCCTTTCAATTTATACACTAAAAGAGCACAGTGAAGCAACTGTTGATTTAGCTGGCAGACTTGATTTCTCTACCAAAGAGCAAAAATTTGTCTACGAGTGGATGGAAGTAGACTATGGTGCAATGACATTGACAGATGGCATAAAGCGACAGTAACATTTGTAACAAGTTTACTTGTAGCAATAAACTGGCTGTAATGAATGACTTATAACTTGGTCCAAATGTTGCATACAACAACACTATTCTCATGACATTGCAGCTGCTGGATGCTTTGCGATAGCAGTGTCTTGCTAAGCACCGAGTTCGGAGCGAAGGCAGCTTATTGAATCAAAGTCTCAAAAATTTTTAATCATAAATCACTGACATGAAGTCCCACTTTGCATTCAGAATATGATAACCGTTATTACCAAAAGGAGTTTTGATTGATGCAAAATAATACCAACGATGGTTTTTGTTTTCGTTTTTTATTATTTTCTTTCACAAACAATTTAGCTGTAGAAATTATAAGAATTCTATTGTAGCATTAATCACAACTGAGGATCATTTTCTTGTGAACTACATAATATAGTATGATGGTTCCACATGTTCACTCGAAACCCAATGGAATTGAGAAATGATTTTTTAGTAATATACATCCATTGTGGGAAAATCAAATTACTGCTGTGACCGATTTTTGAATTTATTAATGTTGATACAGTTCATCCAATGAGCGTGAAAGAATTTCCAATGAAGGAACAAATAAAGGGATATACCCATATTCAGTACAACAGAAAGTTCTTCTCTACTCATTCAGATAATTTTTTTGCCATATTCAATATTTATGTATTTAACACAATAAGTAATAGCTCATGAAAAGAACTAAAATTTTAAGCACAGGGGACTAGAATCAAGTTTGTTTTTGTGATAAATTTTCAGCTCTAAAAAGCCCGAAGGTCAAAATTTCCCAAAATAGCGCATGAAGGAACTATGCAACATGTACGGGCCAGTTTCAAGTGGACATGGGTTCTGAGGCAGTGAAGGGGAATTCGAGCTGCTTCAGCTTCACTGCCGCAGTGCGATCGCTTCACCACGATTCCCCACATCGCTGCACGTTTTAAGTTACATTCCAAGTTGGAGGTGGCGTTGCAATGCCACTGTGGCCAGAAAATCTTCTCGGTTCGTAGGTAAGCTACATTTTTCTTCGGACCCAACATTGACAACCATTGTTTTCTTAAAGAAATTTGGACAGATATTTCAGAACTGAATTGCGGAGTCTGCTGCAATGTCTTCAACCACGATTCATCAATTTTATGGAAATTAGGGTTTTCTGCGTTGTATTTTTACGTTGCACGTTGTTTGGTTTTGAAAACAATTCTGGGCATACACGCTGAATGGTAGACTGGGATTGCGAATGGAAGGGTTTTTGGAAGGTTTTAAGCAGTGATTTGGAATTATGTATTTCGGTGCGGTTGTAAGGTTGGTTTCTGATTCTCGAGTTCTGTTCTTTTTCCATGATTTTCAGTCTCGTGTTTCTGCTGAGGATGATGGTAATGGGTATGTGCCATCAATGTAGATGAGGATGTGAGGATAGTCTGTTGGGGCAGCTATGGCGAGCGCCTTGGATCGTGTATACCAGGAGCTCGCACCAGATATTCGATTTCTTAGTCCAAGCTGCCGATCTCGTGCCCTTCTGCTTCATGCGGACTTGGCAGCCTTCCTACAGCGACTTTCAGCATGCCGGCCTGAAGATCGTGTTCTGTAAGAGGCCACTGCCTTGATGAATTATATTTTAAAAAAACTTTGAACTTCAGAAAGTTGTCTTTTACCATTAACTTCTCACCCCATTTCTCATTTTCGGATCCAACGAATTTTTTGTTTGTTTTTGTTTTTTTTTTTTTTTTTTGTTTACTGTGTTCAGTAGGGTTGTGTTGGTTGTTGAATTGTTTCCATGCTACTCAGTTTCAAGTGTCACAGATTCATCATTCGTTGGTACTTGTGAATACAGAGTGGTGGTTGAAGCCCCAGAACTGCATTGCTTTCTTGCCTTGCAGGATCTCTCAAGAGGTGCAAATTCATCCGGTTCAATCTTTACAGGGGTTGCATTCTCACTCGTCGTAGGTTTCTTGGTTTATGAGTTAAAATGGTTCAAATTGTTGCACTAGCTGTGTTCTTCCATAACATACCTCAGTGAAGGAATTAATTGACATAAGTGTGGTATATTTTCTTGGTGTTCCTAGTATGAAGTTTCAGATGCACGTTGTTAGTATCTTATGACGACAAGTCCTGCAGGTCAGGGGGAAAATGGCTTGAGCCGAGTTCAACTTCAGGTTGTAGAGGCTTTGTGTAAGAAAAGTTTTGGATCACAGGCGCCTCCTATTGCGGGTTGCAGGAAGGCCCTTCGAGCAATCCTCCTGCACTACGATAGCGATGAAGTAATTAACTCGAGCGAATTCTAAACTTGCCTTGCTCACCAATCTCTGCCTACTTGGTACTACTCTATAGTTTGTACGTTTACCAGATTTTTATAGCATGAGAGACAACGTCATTGTGGACACACTCGACAGTATTATCTCCATATTGTAAGGTACTGGATGTAGCTGACCAGCATTGACGGTGCAGATTTCTGTGAAAAACACAGTGAAGCTTCTTTCGGAATGTGCGAAGGAGGGTTGGTGGGACGTTGCCAAGTTCGTCGTTGGTCGTCTTTGCGCGGTGAGTCACCTTCAGTTACTTTACATCGGTTGTGTGCGGAAATTCTTAGAGTTTCGCTTTGAATAACTGGTGCATGAATTTGGCTACAGAAAATTAATGTAATTTGGGGATGTGGTTGCGACATAGTTGGTTTGAAGTTTCATAATCATGTGTACTCAGCCAGACTCATGACCACTTTGTGCAGCATCTGAAGGTGGCTGATTTGGGTTTCATTGAACAAAAGATTTTGGGTACCCTGCGTGATTCTCTTGTCCAACATGGAGCTAAGTAAGATCTCGTACTCTTGTGCACTGTGGCATGTGATAATTTTTGCGTTTTTCCCACATTTTCAGTTACATACTCGAAGGGAGTTAGCGGGACAACAGACGTACGCGTAATCATTGGATTCACTACTACGTGCAGTTCTGCTTGTGCTTTCCTAGTATCCTGGAGTTGTAGTCGAATCAGAATTACAAAGCAGTAGCACCTTCTGGTTGGTGGTAACCATCACGTGCCCTTTATCATCCGTAGTGAAAATAAACCCAATTTTATAGTGACCACCTCATTTACTTATGTTAACACGTTGCCCCACGAATTTGAAAAATCAGCTGCCTTTCAGTTCTGTTGGAGCCTCTACACAAGATGATTTTTGTGCATCTCAGTTCTTTGATGGCTCAAGGAATTCCTCCAGAGGTTGAGACTTTACCACCTGCCATAAAGTGGTACATGCGGTTGCTAAGAAAATGTGCTGGCAAGGTTGTGGGCAATGAGAGTCAATCCACAGCGAGTTTAATCAAGAAACTAGACATTGCTTTTCTTTTCTGGCCTTTCGTAATCTCTTTCGACGAGATCGAGGACAGATTCGCCCTGTCAAATCAGATACCGTTCAGGAAAATGAGTATATGGAGTTCAAGATATTACTCGGAAATAAAGCGCTGGAGGGACAAATTGATCGACCTGCTTTGTAATGATCTTAGTGTAAGATCGAATATTACCTTACATACTGTAGGATAGATTTCAGTAGCCTTGACCATGGCGACCATGGCTCTTGCTTGCCGATACAATCAACGCGTATTTTTGCTTGAATGTCTACGTCATGTCCGTTTTTGCATACTAAGACAAATATATGAGTCTACGGGTGCTTTGTTTTTTTTTATAGACCACTGAATTACTACACTCTAGCTTCTGTGTAATTTATGTACGTCACTAAGAGGTGGTCCACATCTACAGGTGACTATAGCAAGCAGTCTTCAAGTTGATGGCGAACCGTCATGCTACAGCTGGCTCCCATTTGCCGAATATGCACTTAGTCCGGATCATTGGACATGGCTTCACGACCTCCTCTCACACAGTAAGGGTAGCGTGGAGGAGATTGAGAGTCGTCATAAAACATTTCTTGAGGTATGTGGTTTTGATCATGCTATCATCATTTTCCTTCCAATAAAGCTCAGTTCAAAATTTCTCATTTAGTATTGCAGAGTGCATTGTTTTCTTTAGAGGTCTTCTGAAAATTTGTAATTCTTGATTGTTACGTAAAGCTTTCGTGCAGTGACCAACTGGTTTTATTGCACATCCAGACATCAACTACAGATGCAAGCACACTGGGAATGGCAACAGTTCTGGTGGAGATTCTCGCTCAAGAATTTCGAACATGTAATCATTGTCATGTGTCAAAGAATTTGAAACAAGCTCTTCCAGCTTCTAATACCAGACATCAGGGCAACGCAGCCGAGTGTTGTGGCTGTCTACAACAGGATGGGAAATGCACTGGTAATCTCATCGGCCTTTTCCTTGTAAAAGGCTACTTGGACCTCATACAAAGCAAGCATTATATGGATCATTTTCTGTATGTAATTGGATCTTGAATACTTTATATGTTAACGGGTTCATTTAACTCTCCGAAAGGCTGTCGGAGAGTTGATTATTCTAACTCGCCTTGTCCAATTTAAGAAACTAGCAATATTTATGTATATAGCAACCTATCTGGAATTAACTTACCCCAGAGCAGTAGTAAGAACAATCACTGGAGACACATCACTCACTGATTGGAGTGCGCAGATAACGCGGCAGCCCTGCTAATCTGGATGATCGGACAACCTTCGACGGAATTATGCGACAATACATGGTTTCTAATTTTCAATAATCTTCTCTTAGCTGCATCGACTTCGAGGGAAGGTTTTGCTATTCAATATTATGATTCGTCCGACGAGCCCCTTTCCGACAGGTTGGTACTTTGATGGCAATCATCTTCCATGTTCTTCGGACTTGTGGTAATTATTAATATGTACCACCTCATTGGACAGCGGAGAATATACTCAGACTTGTATGCTCTGCCTTAATGTTAATAACCTTGTGGTCTACCATATTTATTTTGATTTCATTTCAGATACTGAATTGCAGTTTTCTGATTTAGAATTGATGCTTTTATGAGTTGATTCACGAAAAATTGTCGTTATATATGCCTTTTTTAGCGTTACTCAACAATCCTTTGAACTGACTCTTGAAAAAATTTGTTCGAGCAGAATGAATCCTCCCTTCTCTCATAAAGAGCAGATGCCTCTCCAAGCAATAGACAGCACTATCATCACACTGGTCCAAAATGAGAAAAAAACGTTACTGAGTAAATGTTCAGGAGGAGCCGATCGTTTGCAAAACCAAGCATTTGTAAGCATCTTTGCTCCTCGTTTGTGTAGGTATACTTCAGTTTTAGGAGCAGCCTGTAGTTGACCATACCTACGAGACAAATGTGGTTTCCTTTTCAGGGTCTTGTGTATAAAAAGGCTGATGCTTTGGTTTTCTGAACATTCTATGTTAAGTTGTAAATTTTATTCCTTATCATATTAATTATCATTCTCTGGTAATAACAATCCGCCTTAACAAGTGAAGCGCTTGGTGACATTCCAATCTTTCGACGTCATTTGTGAAACTTGGTATTTTTGAGGATGAGATTCGCCTCAACCAGTGGTGACATCACATTTAAAAAAACTGATGTTGTAAATACAGAAACAGGCTGAGAAGTCCAAGTGGAGGCTGGAGAGTGTCGTGTGGCCAGCTCTGTTGAGTCATATAAGCTGCTGTTCTTACTCATTCGTATACCACCGAATACTAGAAATATTGGAGACTTTTGGTCCTCAATTTCCAGATTTTATCGATGATATGTCTAAAGATAATAGCTCCTTTCCACTTCTGCAATTGCACATGGATCAACTTCTCGAGGTCGTCAAGCTGGAGCCGCGCTTTATCCTCCCATTAATGATGTTTTTGGAATCAGGCAGCAAAATTGAAGCTATAAGCTCTTTGAAGCCTGGTGTGATTGTCTTGCTTCAACCACGTGGTTAAGTTCTTACGATTGAATGTGTAGCTGATATCCATCGGGCAATGTTCGATTTCTTGATGAACCAGCCTATGCATGCATCATTGACCTGCTTTGTACCTGTAACGTGATTGTGCAGGTAAAAGCGAGAAGTCTTCATCTCAAGATTTCAAGTGCGCTGAGCTGAACTTGTGCGCATTACAAGAAGATGAATATATGGCTGCTATTCATCATTGTGGTAAATTTGATTCGCCCATGATATCTTTAGTGTGCAAATTTCAAGAGAATATCAGACCGCGTCCATTCATTTACATGTTAGTATCAGAAAATATATATTAAGAATGCTCTTTGTATGTATTTCTTGGTTATTCTATGATTCACCGTCTTAAAGGTATCTCAATACATCACTTTGGATATACTTCCAGTGTATTCGTCGCGTCTTGTAAAATTGAATACTTACGCTGGTTGTCACTCAGTCTTGCAGAAATCTGACTCTTGGAAGGAGCGGTTTGATGTCCTCTATTTGCGGGTGGCAGCATTTTCTTGTGGTTCTTTCAGATATCTGGTTGGTGAGTGGGATTCGATGGTTAAAACAAAATCGAATATGATACAGAAATCTGGAGTATTGTCTAATGCTAGAATTTTTGGAAAAATCTCTACTCGGGAGGCAGGAGTTGCGGACACAGCCGGGCTAGTAGCCTCTATCGAAGTATGTCTTCTCCTGTTGTTACTCTGAACGTTATGTTATCTGTTTTTGCTGTTGGAAAGGCCACTATCCTAGAACAGTTGTGCCTATTGCTGGAAGGTTCAATATATAATTTACCTGAAGCGTATCAGGAACTGTTGTTTGCTAGATATATCCTGGCTGAAGCAGCGCAACCTATCCTATTTTCACATTTGTATATCTTAACCAATCTGCGAATCCTCCTTGGGCTTTCTTCTGAATTCTAGTATAATTTACAGGGTCGTCGACTTCTAGCTTGGGAACTGAGAAAATGGACAGAGGTGATAATCTCCTACTTAGGAAACTGGCTTTATTATGTGTTGTTTGTTACATTCTCTGACAGAGACCAATTATGTTTATCTGCAAAAAATTCGGTTGATGACGATACTGCCAATTACCATTTAGCCTCAACTATTGTCACACTGATCCAGTTTGTAGTTGGTTATTATGTATAGAGTGTCTTGTTAGGCTAGATGGCCGTTGGAACTTAGAAGGAGTTCTCTACACAGCCGTTGTGCTTAAAGTTCATGACTAATACATATTGCCATATTGTGCGACTGGTTATTGCAATGAGCAGAAAGTACTTGGTGTATCAAATGCTATTTCTAAAAAGTGCTTTCCAGATCATGAGTCCTTGAAAAGGATATATATTTGGGTTTCAGCACTTCATACCAAGTAAGAATGCCTTATTTTAAGTATGACATGTCAATTTCCTCAATTGCCATGGTTCACTTCATTGTATCTGCCAAAAAATATTGTATATTACAAGCAACCAATGGTGGTGGACATTCAATCTCGAGTATTTGGATATCAGTGATTCTCTCTAAATTACAACGTTCATTTCAGGTTTCTGTACGTGGATGCATGGTTAAATGTTCGACTGTCAGCACTAGGACGAGCCTTGCGTGTGCAAGAAGAAGATACGCTTTGGGAGCGTGAAGTGAATGATGAGGTCAGTTTGGGTTGTTCAATAGCAACTTAGTATTTCATCCAATCTGGATAGCTTATTTCTGTTTTACCTCTGGAGACTGGCTTGTCTTCCTGTACAGTGATGAATAAACGCTTCAGTAAAATAGAGAAACATAGAGCAACACAATTGTTAATCATCATTTGCATAATCTCAGCTAGTCCTTCGAGTTTGCATGCTAAGGTCTGTAGTGCTCAAGTGGGACATTGCAATGCGTTACTTGAGGATAAAGTCATAACATTCTAACACGTGGTCATCGAATTCAGGCTGGTAAAGGTGCACGATCTGCCAAACGTCCAAGATTGAATTCCTACACCACCAATTTGCTCCCTAGAAATTTTTTGGAGACAGAGAGAGAAGATTCTGAGTGGATTGTAGAGGCGTTGTGTAGATCTTCGGTGAGCTGTATCCATTCTCTGGTTTGCCAAGATGACTTGCCAGTAAAGTGTTTTTCATGTGACCAGGTGACCATTATTGGAATGTAGGATTTATGAAGTGAGGTTCATTCTAGGAATTGCAGGTACTGAAGCTAACATGAATTACTTGAGGGTTTTTGACATTTTCATGAGTATGGAGTGAAAAAATCAATCATTACAATGACATCTGAATCCTTGTGTTCGTAGTCGATTGTCAGTGCTGCGTTGTAGATTGAAGTGAATGAGGATTAAGAGTGATATCTGACGAGATTGCTTACAACACAACTGAATTTGTTCAAGTTTCCTATTCCTCAACTACTTGATGCCATTCCTTCATTCAATTTCACTTACAGTAGAGAAGTATTTGTTGATCTATTTGAGTCTCAACGACACAAAACGTGGAAGACCTAAAAAGGGCGTCGCCACTGGCAGCAAGCAGAAGGCACCACCTGGTACTTGATGTCATTCGAAAAGTGTTTTGCTGGCATAGCAGGAATTTCATTTACTTGTTTTCATAGTGGTGTAGGGTTTCTGAATATTATCTGCATAAAGATATCTTTTTCTTCTTTATAACACATTCAGTGTGTATCAAGGCTGAGTATAACCGATTTGTACAGAGACTATATCCTCGCATCGAAAAATTCTTGTGTCATACCTTGCCAAGCATCCTTCTCAGATACCAAATCTGGCAAGTTTATGTCAGAACAAAACGGTTCTTCAAGTGGCTTGTGAGGGGATACTGGAATCTTCTACAAAACCTTTTTCGATTGGGGGTTTGTAGTTTCTACTTATAAACTTTTGTCTTTCATGATGGTCGTAGCATTGGATTGGCATCTTCATTATTATGTAGTGGTCTTTTGGCTTGCAATTTAGTTGTCCAATCCAGATAAAAGATAATTTCTTTCTTCGTTTTCGGTATATCAAGAGTTTTATGTCCATCGTAGGCAAAGTGAAAGGGTCCTGACTTCTGCAGTATTGGATGTTGCACATCTAATAGTTAGTTTCGTTTCTAATTCGATTTTACGAGACTTCTCTTGATTTGTGCTGAGTTGCTGGCAGGATCTGATATTTTTGAGGTGTGGTTTCAGTTCTTGGAGAAGTTCAGGTTCTTATTGCATGCCTTACCAAGCTATGACACACCTCTAATGTCTAACACAAATAGTTTTGAAGGTTTTGTGTTTGAGAACCCCTACAGCTTGAATGAATCCTTTATGGTCTAGAAGTCTGTAACTAGATGTTGTCAATGGTTTTGAATGAACTCAGAGTCAATTTGCGATTTTTAGTTTCTTGCCGATTTGGTTGTCTTGGATAATAAGCTCTCTTTTATTCAGAGTTGAATAGGCTTTTATGTTGGTATCGTTCAGCTCATGCATCCTGTGTTCACCCCAGTCAGAATCTATCGTGCAGGTTGGCTGGGGGCAAGCCACGGAGCTTGGTATATCTCCATGGAGGCAGTTTGCTTGATCGGTTGACTGAGTGTGGTATATGCACTATATCATCTGCTGGAACTTGGTGATTAAGATGCATGTAAAAAGTTATATTCCTCTCTAGCTGTCATGTAGTTATTATTCGAATGTGAATAAGAGTTGCTGAGAGTGCACTTTTGTGGCTTCGCATTTTATTTTTCATTAACATCTGTATACATACACGAAATGCTCCAGTAGTTGCTTCTCTAGACAGTGTTTTAGCAAAGCCCCTTTGATATGTTTCTTGTTAAATAAATATTTTTTTAGAGGTGGTCACTAAACAAATCACTATAACTGCAGTTCTCCATGGCACTACTCTGCTCTGTAATTTGCCACAAGATTTGCTGGAAAATCTGGTTTCAGTTTCACCCGGGATGATTCGCCGTATCTATGAGGAAGCCCGTCAGCATCTTCAGAGCAGACCAGATGCACAATTTACAGGATTTCAGGATACGGACGATTTTTGTCTCAGAGGTACATGTTTAATTTGATACCGGTGCCTGCAATCATTTTCTCACTTGATCAAGCTCAGACCTGGATCTATTTTACCCTATTTGTGACTTAAGTGTTGTCTTGTATGTTTGGATGGAAAGTCTACCACATTTCAACACGAAAAGTAATGATTTTACTTTGAAGCTCAGGCTTGTTCTTACTCTATTATGTCCCGTATTGCTGTTTAAGCTATAGTAAGGTTACTCGATTAATAAGGAATCTTGGTAATGTTTTTGAGATTAATTGTGGTCGTACCACAGGCGTGGTGACAGCAACGGACCTTAAACCCCAAGCGATGGCCGAATGTCTAGAATCCACGATGCTTGATATGTTTTCGAGCGTAGGAACGGCTTCGCGGTCTTCGCATTCGAGAAGTTCTTTGCTCGATGTGAGCTACTTTCCTTTTTCCTGAGAAGTGACATGGGGAACTTTTCAAATTTTTTCTTATTTTTATTAACTCTTTTATTTATCTGCTGAATTAGTCTTTAGAACTTAAGGTCATTATTTGACAAATATTTTGGCTCGTTGAACACGTGTTTCAGTGCCAGTACCAAGTTGAACTTGCCAGCATAGGCCATGAAATTGCCTCATGACGTTCATTACTGAACCGTGGGAATATCTTGTAGCTACGACTTAACTGTTACTGAAAATTGATTTGCATTTATTGTCAGCTGCTCTCCATGGTTTTTGCGTCATGCAGACCTGAAAGTCGCAATATAGTACTCTCACACCTTCAAGAATCTAATTTGTATAAGAAGAGGTGAGTTGGGCTGGTTTTCTATTCCTTTGAATAGTTTCAATTTTGTGATGATAACTATGTGACACTTTCCTTGGAAGAAATTACCAGTTTCCAATAACGACCTCCTTTTTATCTTATGCGATGCTGTATTTAGTTCGTTGACATCAAAATGGTCAGTTACCACAGAGCATAAGCTTTGTCGAATGTCCTAACAGTTCTAAGAAATTTATTGCATATTTCCTTGGAATCCACCTATGCTTTATGAACGGAGGAATCGTTCCTTTTAAGATTTAGTTCACCAAGCGTTACGTCTGAAAATGCTTTGTGGTTGATAAATTGTGCAGCATTGTAGAAGATTTCGATGCTATAACCTCAAAAGCACTCGCACCAGGTGCTAATGAGATGGCGGCTGAGCTAGCACCGAATGAATGGGTACGAAGACATCAACGTATGCTACTTGGGCCAGCTTTCGTTCTAGGAGTGGTTTTCTGGTGCAGCAAGTAAGCATTTTATTGTCTGATTAACGTCGCACGTTAAGCTCATTTTGGAAAGTGCGATTTTGGTGTTCGTGATTACTAAAACAATTTCAAGGATGTCCTTGATGAAAACACAGATAAAGGCCAAGTTGGTAGCAAGAGATACCGCAATGATTTAATAACTAGAAATCTGCAATTTGGAGAAACGTCATTCAAATGTTAAACCAAGAACCTTCAAAAACTCACACATTTTCTCATGCTAAAAGAGTATTTGTTACGATATACGGTTGTATACAAGCTGAACCAAGACTGTCATTTTGTTGTCGCCTAAATTTTAGGTAATTGGTATATTTTTGTGTTTTATTTTCGTTTTTGGTGTAATTAGGGTTCTGACAGTCTTGAAGAACATCTACGAGCATCGAGATTTGGATTCAATAAACCACAATGTAGACGGTGTTCGAATGGATCTGAATGTCTCTTTCTCAGATCAAAGAGCAGCTATATGTCATATTTTGGTAACATGTGAACCAAATCCATGTAGTAATATTCCTGAAGATGACCAGAATGCTCAGACATGCGTGCAAAAGAGTTCCACCTCCTGCGAGGAGATGATTTTCCAGGTATTGACCAGGAAAGACAACTTAACACTTGAAAGTCAGTTCCTGTTCCATCGATATAGCTTTTCAGTAATTCTATATGTCTAAATCAAAGTTTTGAAGGGAGGTATGCATGTGGACAGCTTCAGGCATTTGCTCCATCGGAAAGGAATCCTAGCTTATACCACTCCATAATTTCTTGGCTTCTCCAGTGTTGCAAGATGAACATCAGGTTTGTCTCTCTATATAGATATCAGATGGTTTGTGATCAATAGTGTGCGTTTTAGAAGTTGGGTGATGATGCTGTAAGTATTATTAATGAGAGCTGAATGATTTGCAGGTTGAATCTAGAACATATTAGAGCAATATGTCGCTTACATCCTCTTATGATGCGGGATGGATTGATTAAGAGGATTGACACAGAGTTGATGGAAGCAAGCAAAGTTGAGGGGAAAGAGTTGGTCTGGAAGAGCTCATTAGAAGCATTGAGGAGAGGAATTTTGGATGGACTTCTAGCGTGGTTACCACTGGATGTATGTGCATTTGCTGCATATGTGGAAGATGTTTATTCTGCGTGCCAGTTGTATTCTTTTCATAAAAAACCCGTCTTATCGTTTTTATTCTTCGTGCTACTACCCTCGGGGCTGTGGTGCAATATTTAAATTCTGTGATTCATCCTCAACTTCTAGTCCTTGTGCTGTGCAGGCGCGATCAAATCTTACGACCACGTTTGATGACGTGCCAAGTGATTTTTTCCTTGGGAGCAATAGCACGAGTGTCGAAGAAATCATATCTTGTTTGAGGAGCACTAACATTGGGGTGCGCAGAAGCGCATACTATTTTGTAGTTGCCCATCAACATCATCACCATTTTGTCTCGTCCTTGGCTCTGGTAATTTAGTAACTCGGCCCACTTTTGCTTGATTGTTTTCAGCGTTATGTATATGTCCGTGAAGGGTACTTATTACTGCAGAATTTTGCTCATAAATGACGGTGCGAAGATGAGACTGTTCAAAATAGTGATAAATCTTTTCATGTAACAAAACGCGTCGAAAGGTCATTATATTTTCTGTTGTAAATTAAGGATCATTTACTTCTTTTAACTGAATAGTAGAATTTCGATATTGGCAATAATGCTCATGGATTCGTTGCTCTGGTACCTGAGTAGTTTGTGTTAGGCAAATATAGACACATAAGATGTGGAGACCTTCCTCGCTAGCAACTATTGGACGTTAACTTTATTAGACTAGGTTTGTTACAGTATCTAATATTTCCTTATTTTCATGAAGGAGCTGTGTAAAAGGGTCGTCCATGCTGAACCAACCAAAGAGCAAGAAGCATTTCTTGGAGTATTAATGCCTGTCCTAATGAATGAATCGCACACCGCTTCCATGTCTGTGGACGCTGTTGTGATGCTCTTCCGAAAGGCGAAGGCATTAATCTTGAATCTTAATGCTGGCGGAGAGGTCAGGTTCTATTTCAATGAACCATGCATTCTGCAATTTTAAGTGTTTACATTCAAAGATACAAATGAATGCACCACATCAATATTCATATATTTTACTTTTCTTAGTCACCTGGGCATTTCTAAATCAAAGCCTTGTCTCTTTGTCATTGATTTATATTATGAAATAACCAAACACACTTATCCTTAAAGCTCAATAATCTCGCATCTTTTTTGTATGCATGATGTTGATATTTACAATTTGATCTCATTTGTAGAGCGAGAGTGCTGCGTTATCTTCAGAACCGAAGCTGAAGCATGTCGAGGCACTTTTGCGCGTGGCGTTACTTGCTTGTGAAGTTTCACCCCACAATTTCGCTACAGGTCTAACTCTCCTCAAAAGGCTTTGAATGTCCGCATAAGTGCACGTAGTTTTATTGATAATACACGTTAAATCTACCTGGGCACTATCAGTTGTCAATTGGAAAAATATTGTACCAGTATGCAACCCCTCTGTAGGATTAGTGTGAAGCCCCAACCATCATAAATTGCAGTTCATGCATGTGAAGATGTCAATTTGGTGAATCACTACATATCTTGTATTTGTACCATCTTATTGCGTTTTTGGCATCTAATACCTGGGTTGCCGTTCCATGGATTTACAGAAGAAGTCGCATTGCTCCTCTTTACACTCGCCAAGGCGGAGTCGTCCGAGGAGATAGTAGTAGGTGCCATGCAATGCCTGATAGCGCTAGCTCTGGACCTTAAAGTCACCATCAAGCATATGAAGCTATTGAAAGACTTGTTGCTTCACCTAGCGTACAAACCTGCAGGTCAGTGTTGCAGTGAGCTGCTTGTATATGTTGCATTATTTGATAGTATTGTTTGCATACGATCGAGGGTGTTGGTTGTTTGTTGTAGCAAACGAATTTAGATTTCCGTACATTTTTTGCAGATGATTTTGCAACATCTGTGTAATGTTCGGTTAATGGTTTTTGGCTTCATTCAGTTTTACGACTTCCAGTTTTTTGCACGCTCTAAAGTGAGTGCTGCACCAATGGCAGGTGATTACGTTTGGCATTTAGCAATTGCCTTTGCAGAGAGATTTGCAACTGGTGCTTTGAAAGCTCGATTTTCTCTTAAAGATGAGACGAATCCTGGAATCCACGAGGAGAAATTATCCTTGGAGTTTTCTTTTGCTGTTCGGGAACTTCCTCGTGGATGCCCACTGCAACGCTTTATTCCTTTGCAAGCCATTTTAAAGCGTTTTGATTGTATGGGTTACCGTCATACCTAAGATATTTTTTGTACACGTTACATTCTTCCAGTGTATTAATTTAAAAAATAAATAAATCATTGTACCTTATTCTCGAATCATTCCAATATATAATTCAATTTGATATTGACCTTCTGAAAGTATTATATAAATATAAATAATTTACAAACTAAGGAACTAAATATTGCTATATACTAAGAAATTTTAGTCTTAAATTAAATCAAGAGTTTAATACAAGAAAGGCATTGATGAAGACTAATGATGGCTTCAATCTTACTTTCATAAATATTAGTTATAAAAAAATCCCCTTAGAAAGCTTCATAAGGAAGCTTAGGCATGTAGTGGAGTCATTTGGTAAGTTTGTTTCAACTTTGCTTCTTAAAAGTGGAAAATTTATGAAACAAGTTTCAACAATCATATTGTGTATCTATAAGAATTTAAAGATCTAGTTATTATTTAAAGAATATTTTTTTATTTTTTTAAAATAGATATTTCTTACATATTTTTATCTAATTCTATTTAATTTTATTTGTTTAATTATTATAGATGTTCATTATATTACATTTCTTCCTAGAAGTGAGTTTATAAAAAGCAAAAAAGTTATTTTATAACTTAATAAAGTCCAAGATTTGTCAATTAGTATTTGCAACAAATTCTAATTTGTGTTCTATTCAAAGGTTGTATATAGGATTTTTAGAATCTATAAAAGCTAAAGACCAATTATTTACAACTGGATAGTATAATACTAGATTTATTTGAAAAAAAAATATGATTTTCTTGATAATCTTTATGTTTACTTTGGTATCATGAAGGTTAAGAAAATTTAAGTATTTATCTTACGATTTTGTATATAACAAATCTTAAATTGAATATATTGGATGTTGATTCTTTGTTCTACAAAAAAGCTTTAAATATTGATCCTTGAACTTGTATCTTCTAGTATTATACTATCCAATTGCAAATAATTGGTCTTTAGCTTTAATAGATATTATCAATAAAAAGCCAAAACAAGTTTTGATGCATTAAAAAAAATTCATATAGTTCTTGTATATTTTTACTAATATCATATTTATGTTAATATAGATAATATTCTATTTTATTTTTGCATTGTTTTAAATTAAAGACTATTTTTATTTTAATTTTTTATTTTTTTTAGTTCATAAGTAGTAATTATATTTTTATTTTTAATATATTAATTTCATTATAAAGCTTAATAAAAGATATATAGAAGAAAAGATAAATATTTATTGACTATAGTAATTGCAACTAATATATAAAAGGATTAAATATTTTAATAATGATTTACATTAGCTTTTACTAATCAAAATTGTTTCAAGAATTTAAAATTTAGGTATTACAATAAAGTAAATATATCTTCTTACTAGCTTTATATAGAAGTGATCTTTTTTTAAAAAAAGTTACATTGGTTTTTTATTATTTATTTGGTTTTTTACAACTTTATCTACATTTTTGTACAAATCACTAAAATTTTACTTGCCAAATTTTTATTGTTAGATTTTTTACTTTTCAAAAGTAAAAAGTATCAAATTATGGTGATAATGATAAATAAAATAAAATATAGTGTGGTTAAATAGAATAATGTGTCATATTTTAATATTAATTATTTTTCTAATAAAAAAAATATTCACTTATTTTGGTGGTATTTAATATTATATTATAAACATTATTCGAATATTTAATGCTCATATTTTATTTATTTATTAGTTTGAAAATGGAAAAATGGACACAATTTTGTATCAACTTTTAGTACTTTAAAAAAATCTCCCAAAACCTATTTTGGTTTCAAAAAGACAATCTATTATTCATTGTATATAGCACCTTTCTATTTTGATCCAAGATAAGAGTGTCTAGATGTTACATTTGATAAGCCTTGTTGTTTTCTATAGAAATATATCTCCTATATGTTTGGAGACACTTTCTTATATTATAAGAATTATCATGTTAAATACAATCAATTTTATAAATCCTTTAATTTCTTTATAAGTTTTCTTTACATTCTTGGCCTTTTTCCAACAAAATTTTAGTCATGTGGGTGCTATTTAGACCAAGTAGTGATGAAAAAATATGAATTTGAAATAATAGACTAAAATCAAATCTTTAATGCTTATTATTTTGCCAACTTTAGACTATATTCTTTGATTTAAGCTAAATAAGTATTATTTTTATTCTAAGAATCTCATTAAAATAAAATAAAAATAGAAAAAAGAGAAAGAAAAACCAAAAAATTAAAAAAAATAAGAAAGACTAAAATAGTTAAATAAATAATTAATTAATATTTGTTTTATTTTATTTTATTTTATTTCATTCAGTTCTTATTAGATTTGGATTTAGATTTAAATCCAATGATTTTTTAAAAGTAAAAATAAAAATATTTTCTTATATCTTAGTAAGAAATTGAAAAAAATTGATCTTTTAGATTGGTCTTTAAAGGTATGGACACTTGATAATATATCTTGTCAAAGTAATTTAAGGATCAAGGTAGTGTTATAACTTATTTGAGACTTTAAGTTTTAAGGTTATTAGAAGTTTTAGTTTTTTTGTGTATATATATTTTAAATTATTGAAGGTAATATTCTACTATAAAAAATACATTAAAAAAATTGATTTAAGAACATGAATGATTATTAAGGTTTTTTTGTAACTGAAAGAAGTCAAAGATGTATTTGATTCTTTTTTTTTCAAACATATAACACTAATATATATATATATATATATATATATATATATATAGATATATGTGTGTGTGTTATAGAACCACTATGTATATTGATATAAGTAAGATATAGAAATATAATAATATTAACATATTTTCTATCTAAAGTATCATCTCCAAGTTTTAAATCTATTTAAATTGTTAATAAGAAGCCGTTATCTCTTTATAAGTAATTAATCTAGGCAACATAGTAGATCTAATTTTAATAAAGTCTGTTTTAGTATTATCAAATTTAAATTGCATTCTAGATTCAATGTTATTTAAGCTATCAATGCAAATTTTGAATCTTAAATAAATATCTAGCCTAATACAACAAAAGATGTCCTATCCTACCAACAATGTTTGTACTATACAATAAAAATTTGATTAATGTATGAAATAATCTCTAATGTACAAAGAAAGAATCTAAAAAATAAGAATTTAATTGGATTGTTAATAAATTTTTCTTCTATTTTTAAAAATATTAATTTATTATTATTTATATCCTTATTAGAAAGTCTTAATTAATAGACAAGATACAATTTATTGAAGTTGCAAGGATGAAGTTGGTATCATAGTAGACTAATATTTTAGTAAAATCAAGATTATGTAGAGAGTTGATTATTATTAGTACCAAGCTAAGATCTAAATCCTTAAGTATCAAGGTGTCTTTAATTTAATCTAAAATTATAAATAAAAAATTAATATAGATGTGGTCTTTATATTAGATTTTTATGTTTTAAAATTACTTATAAATAGATTTAAATATCTCTTTTATATAGATTTGAGTAGTATTGGAAATATTTCTTAATTTAAATTGATATAAATAATTAAGTTTAAATATTCTATTCTCTTATCCTAAAAATTAATGTCTTCTATTTAATTCTTTATATTATTTGGTTGTCTAATATCTCTTGAATTTTCTTGTATATATAAGATATTTTTAAGAAAAAAATAAAAAAAGATAGTTCCATTTTTAAAAAACAACATAACCTAAATTTATAATTTATATTAAATTAATAAATTCTTAATAGTTTAATCCACAATTTGAATATATATATATATATATATATATATATATATATTTTGGTTTTAAGATCTAGGTTTATTTGATTAACTAAATTTTATAATCTAATAATCTTATAGCATTTTATAAATAAATATTAAATTTATATTTATTAATATATTTTTTATACTATTATTGATTTTTAAAATAAATTTTATTATTCTTTGGAATTTTTTATAATACATAATTAAAGATCTAAGTTTATATTATTATTAACATATTTTTTAAGAAGTGTACTGAGATGTTTTTCCATTATACTAATAATTTTTGTAAATTCACAAAATAATTCTTGTGATTTTATAAGGATTTCATGGTTGATTTTTTTTTTTTTTTTTTTTTTTTTTTTTTTTTTAAAGTTCTTTTAAGTTTTCTAGATGTTTTACCTCATATATGAAATATCAAAATCAATATCAAAAATATAATTATAATTATAATTATAAAAAAATGAAATTTTAAAGTTGTACAAAAATTATGCCAAATTTATTTCATGTAGATTTTTATTGAAAAAATAAAAAATAATTTAAATTTTTTAAAAATTATCCATATATACATGCTTGAAAGCACATGTGTAATAGGGTATAGAAAAGATAATTATATAAATACTTAGAACCATGGGAGTTTCTAGAATTAGGGTTAGGTTAGTAGATCAGGTAGGATCCACCATAGAACATTCTAAAAGAGTTTAGGGCAATTATTTAGATAGGGCCTACCATAGAATCTTTTAGAAAAGGCTTAGGATAGTTATGTAGATAGAGTCCACCACCTAAGAACATTCTAGAAAGTCTACGGTGATAGAACAAGGTATAAATAGGACTAGCCAGGGCCTTTTGGGGCATCTGATTAAGTATAGCTTCAAATTCTTTTTCTTAATAAAGTTTGGTTTTGCATCATTTTATTTAATTATGTTCTATTCTGTTTCTATTTGATCAGTTGTCTTTCATGTTCTATATTGTGTAGTTCTATTTAGTTCTATTTTGGTCTATTTTGTCTTATTTTGTGATGAGATTTTATGTTGTTGTGAAATAGAAGGATCTTGGATTTTTAAGATAGTCTAGTCCTGATTCATTGATATCAAAGCGAATATTAAACTATTTACTTTTGGTAGCATGTCAATAGTCATCATATAGTCCAAGTTCAATTGTTGTGGTCACATTGGATATTGTATTGAGGCTACTATAAGTTACTCTTAAAAAGTCAATTGGGAGGTGAAAAGATATTATAATAGTCAAGTCCAGTGGAAAAATTACAATATGGGAGATATGGCAATTCCAAATAGAGGCTCAAATACAATATCTCTTAGACCAGATAGCTACTTTGCAATG